TAATCTTATTAAACAAATAAATTATTTAATTATATATATATATATAATTTAATTATATATATATATATATAATTATTATTGTTAATACATAATACACAATATTTAATACATACACACTATTGACGTAAAACTAAATATTATAACAATTCAATAGAAAATTATTTATAAATAAATAAATCCAAAATTAATAATAATATAATATATAAAAGTCAATGATTTTTTTGTTGTTGAGGGGATCAAAACATTAATTAATTAAATATTTAATATTATTATAAATTATTATTATTATTATGAAATAAATAATTACCAAAAATTTTCCATAATATAAACTTAATGTATTTGATTTAATTTTAGAGATTAATTTATTGTCTATTAATATATTAATATATTATTATTATTATTATCTATATGTAAATGTTTGTCAATAACACCAAAAAAAAATTCAATGTTATATTTAACCGGATATTTGTATATAGATTTAATTATTAGTATTAAGTTATTAGTATTTTAAGCAAAAATATTAAAAACAAATTTGTTTTTTATTCATCTAAATAAACCATAAAATAATAATATAATTTTGAAAAAAATACTTTTTTTTATTTTACTATTTTATTATAAAAAAAATTGTTAATAATATATATATAAAAATTAAGTATTATTTTTTTATTAATAATAAAATTCAATTAATTAGTTATTATTATTATTATTATTATTGTTATTATTAGTTAATACTGTTATTTAGTAAAAAAATAATTTTTTTTTGATAACAAATAGTTCATTAAATAGTAAATTAAATGAAAATAATTTTTTAATTGAAAAAGTTTTTTTGTTGTTATTATTGATTATACTATAAATTATTTTATATCATTTAGTTTTCAATATTATATACAGTATATACTGTATATATGTTTAAAAAAAATAAGTTCAATAACCGGATACAAAGTTTGTCACATAACATGTCATAAAATTTTTTTAATAATAATAATAATAATAATACTAAAAGTTATTTAATGTGTTTTTTTCTACAAACTAAGAAATTTTTTAAAAATCATTATCAAACTGTTATTGTTGTATATTATATGATATATATATATAAATTAAATAAATACATTAAATATAATTATAATAAATATAAACCACACTCAAAAAAATACTTAAATACTTTTTTTTAAAAAAACTTGTTGGCATAATATATCACTAAATAAATTTATGGCAATTATTTTAAATATTTATTAGTTGTGGTTATATATATATATATATATATATATATAGAGAGAGAGAGAGAGAGAGAGAGAGAGGCCATAGACACCATATAGTTGTGATTATTATATATTATTTTAAAAATAATAATAATAATAATAATTAATGACATTATTATTATCATATACTTTCATGAATATCTAAAACAAAACAAAAAATTTTTTTTAAACAATTTTATATGCAATTTATATTATCATTACAATAGAGTATATTATTATTATTATTATTATTATACTGTATATGATATTAACTCATGTGTTGTTTTAAAATATTTTTTGTTTTTATTGTTTTGTTTTATAATTTTGTTGCCGGAATTAAACGGCAAAAAAAACATAATACTAAACAACAAACAAAACAAAAAAAACTATTTAGACATAACTGTCACTCAAAAAAATATTTTAACGAGAGGTATGTGCTGTTAGTTAGTTAGTTGTTAAAGGGATAGGTATGCCATTGCACTGGTATGTTATGTATGTGATTCATGAATATTTTAATAATAATAATATTTTTTCAATCATGTTATGATATAACAGATTATAATATGTCATAAAAAATGCAATGTTATGTATATATATATAATAATTAGATGTATTATTTTTTAATGGTAAACATGTTTTCCCATATTATATATATATATATATATACATGAAAATTATAATAGGGTTGTCATGTAATGGCATGGTATGGCATATAAGTGTATGTGTGTGTAGGCACAGGTATGTACACACTATTCATCAAATATTGTTAAATATCAGGTAATCATTGAACAGCAATAACATCAACAAAAAAATTGATTATCACTTCATAATAATAATTATTATAATATAATAGAAAATAAAGTTTTTTTTAGACAATAAACCAATTATGATATATATATATATACTATATATATATATATATATATACTGTATATATAATACCATTAAAAAAAACGTTTTTGTTATATAGATATATATAACTAACAAACAAATAGTTGATTGTTTGTTATCATCAAATTTTTATTTAAAAAAAAATTTTGTTTGTTTTTTTTTAATATAATAAACTTATAAACTATTTTCAATCAACTATTTTAAAAAAAAATCCAATTAAAAAATATTGTTTATATATATTCATATATTTTTTTACAAATAATAAATATTAATATATCCAATAAATTAGTTTAATAAAACAAAAAAAAATAATTGTGTATAAATTAATTTAATTATTTTGGTTTTTTAAGCAACAAAAATTTCAACAACAAAAATAACTAAATAAATAGATATTATTAGTTGACATTATATAAAAAATAAATAAAATAAAACTAAATTTTTAATATACAGTATACACTCATACAAAAAAATATATACTTTATATTATATGATATATTAAATTACATTTTTTTAAAAAGTTTCAGTTTAGACGCTATTTTATATCCGATAAAAATGCAATTTTTAAAAAAACTTTTTTTTTATATAAATATCAATATATTGTTTTAAAGTTTGAATTTAATATATATATATTTAATATATCATATGATATAATAATAATATACTGTAATAATAATAATAATAATTTAGTTCATCGTAAATAATATATAAAACATTTTTAACAAAAAAACTTAGTTTTTAGTATTTTTACAAAAAAACTTGTTGTACTTATCGTATGATTTAATAGATATATATTAGTTGTTATATTACTTTTTAACAAAATTTTTTTAAATAATCTAAAAAAAAATCATAACCAAAATGGCATATCTATAGTATATATAAATTTATATATACTTTATATACAGTATTTAAACACCAAATTGACACCAAATTTATATAATATTATTATTATTATTACTTTAGTAATGTTTATTAACAATACGTGTTATTGTATAAAATTTTTTTTTAGTTATATGTTTTATTAATGGACTTTTTATTTGTTAGTATTATTATTATTATTATTTTATATGAATGTATAGAAAATTATTTTTAAGGTATTATTTTCCCATATATTTTAATGTGAACTCATATAACATTTTTGTATACCGTTTATGACATTATATATATATTATATAATATAATAATAAAATTTACTAATAATAGTATTAGAGATCACACACACACACACACACACAACAAAAAAATACATTAATATAAAAATAAATTTATTACTCTTTTATATATCATATATATATATATATATATATTAGTAATAAACAGTTAGTGTATTGTATAATACAATAAAAACTTTTATATATATATATATATATATATATGTTTAGAGCACAGGTATGTTAGAAATATGGTATGAATACTATCAATCATGAAATACAACGAGAGAGTCATAATTTATTTTTTTTTTAAAAATCATAGTCATAGAGTGAGAGCACCGGTAGTTTTTTTTTTGAATAGCAAAATATACATTGAATAATACCGACACCGACAGCAACAACAACACTATACTGTAGAGTAAATTGTCGTTTATTTTGTTAGTTTTATTATTAGTTTTATTAATAGTTTTATTATTATTATTATTATTAATATATTAGTAGTAGTAGTAGTAGTTGTAGTAGTATTTGGTAATAATAGGCGAATCGTTTTTATTATTTAGTTTGTTAGTCATATATATCTGCAAATATAATGGAAATGTTAGGTAACAAAAAATTTTTGAAAGAAAGAGAGAGAGAGAGAGAGAGGAATGTGAGAAAAAAAAATTTAAAAAAATTAATGATTAGTATTGAAAAAAAAATTATTAATACAATATATATATATATCAAATAAATTATAATTAAGTTTATATAGATTTAAAATATGATATTTTTAAATAAAATATTAGTTTTTTTTTATTAAATAGAAAAAAAACATACAATAGTTTCTCTTTATAATAATTATTATAATACTAATTAAAATATTTTACATTTTACTTAATCTAAATAATTAATTAGGTATAACTTTTTTTTAATATAAACAGTTAATTATTATTTTGTTATTTAAAAATTTTTAATTGGTATACTAAACTAAAGTATACTAAAAATAATAATTAATTAATACTAAATTAATAGTTTGTTAATTAATTAGTATTGTATATACAATATATATATATATATATATTTAAATAATTTTTTTAAAATAATTATATTAAAATTTATATTTTGTGAATCAGGTTATCAATTCTATAATTATATAAATATAATATGATTTTCATAACTATTAATTAAATTTTTTTTAATAAAATAATTATTTAATAATTTATATATACATTGTGTTGTTATTGTTGTAGTCATTTAGTACAACAACAACAAAAATATACAATACTTTTATTATACTGTAGTATAATATACTGAGAGAGAGAGAGAAACTACTGTATAGTTATTTTTAATAATTTAAATAATAATAATAACTATTATTATTATATTTATTTATATACTATATATAAATTATATTGTATTAAATAATAATAATAATAAAAAATAATAAATTAGAGCAAACAGTACTTATTATTTATAGTCTATTAAATAATAATTATTAATAATAATAAATTTAAAAAAAAATAAATAAATAAAATTATAAAAAAAACAAACAAATAAAATATAATATAATTTCTATATCTATATACTGTATTTATATGGCCTATAAAATAAAATCAATAGAGACTATACATAGACTTACAGTAATTATAATATTAAATTAAACTATAATTTTTTAAGTTATGGGGGGGGGGGGGGGGGGGTGGGGACAGGTATGTCCACACAATAAAAAAAATATGACACTGACCTCCACGAAGCGCCGTTAGCTTTCGCAGTACACCCGATGTACTAAAGAAGGAGCTCCGGGCTCTATGGGCTAGCATTGACGGCAACGGGTGATGTTGTTGTTGTTGACCAGATCGAGCACCGGGTGTTGTTGTTGTGTTTTCCTGGACACCATTACGGTTGTGCTGCCGATGACCGCGCGGGTTGGCCGGCAATGTTTGGCTATTACGGGCACCGCTGTTGCTATCTTCTGGCGACAGGTTAGGCGACGAATAGGACAGACACTTAGTGGCCGCCGCCGTACCCGATGCCGGTGTAAACAGTCGCTTATGATGATGCTGAAGATGATGATGAGCACCGTTAGTATTATTGGTGGCCGCGGCCATTAATCTCGATGAGGCAATAGTATTATACATGTACTGCTGATGATAATGGTATTGATGTGGCAGTTGTTGCTGATGATGAAGATAATGGTAGTGTTGTTGTTGCTGTTGTTGGTGTTGGTGTTGTTGTTGATGATGATAATGATCGGACAGTTGTTGATCACTAGCGGCTGCTAATTCTTCGTCTAGTTCTTCGACAATGGTTTCCGATCGATGCGATCTGAGACTGTGGGGCAGTGTCATCGACATAGACATTGAGCGCATGGATGTAGTCGTGGTGCTGGTAGTGGTGTTGGGTGTTGTCTGGTATTGTAGTGACTCATCCAGCGATTTGATACTCTCCTCGGATGACAGAAAACTATAGTATCCGGTATCACGAAATCCATGCCTATTATTATTATTATTATTGCTAGTATTGGTATCCAATTCGGCCAAATTACCGGCACTTTTGGTCGACATATGACCACCACTACCACCTGTTGTCCGGGCTTTAGCTGTCGGTGCCGTAGTATTGTTGTTGTTGGCCAACAATAGGTTGTCCTCTGACGACGCCTTTTCTTTTGTCTGATTATTGAACGACTTGTTCAGTACTATCGACAGCTGCTGCTGGTGTTGTTGATCGTCAGCCTCATCGATGGCCAGTCGACTACTAGACTGAGTGCCGTCCGATTGTGAACTAATTTCCGATTGAGAGGCACCGGCACTGCTGACTATGGTGTTGTTATAGCCGGCCGTACGGGCTCTGACCGTCTGAATACTTGAGACACTGTCGCTGGAAAAGCTACGGTCTTTCAGCGAATCAAACATCGGCGGCGGCGACAGTGACTCTGTCCTACTATTTGTAAGGCCGCCGCTGCCGGCCATCGTATCGTCAATTTTGACCACTGTTTTGTGGCCACTAGTAGGCACTGTATTGTTATTACGGAGAACTTCGCGGCCGTTAACAGTGACCTCCTGTGCGGACATACTGTTAGATGTCAGCGGTGACGGTGTCCGACGCTGTTGTCTAACTGGTGCTCGCGGACTATCGTCGCCCGAGTCGGCGGTGGTGGCGGCGGCGACAATGTTTAGCGGTTGCTGTTTATTATTATTATTATTAGACTCACTGTCGTCACTGTTGGCCTGTAGTTTACCGAACAACGAGATACGGGCCTCCCAGCTGTTCAGCGATGCCCGATCGCCGTCATCCGATGACGACGTTGGCCGGCCAGTGGCAGCTGCGGCCGCGGCGGCGCTAATTAAATTGGTTTCATTCAGAAAAGTTGTCGTATCTTTGCTGTTGTTGTTGTTTGGCTGGCCATCGATCATAGCAAACAGTTCGTCCATTTCGTGCGATATCTCCGATTCGGTTGGCGTGTGATCGTCGGAGTCGTCATAGCTGGGTATCGACACACTGGCCGAACATGTAGTTTCCGAACCCGATTCGGAAGGCGGGCCTTTAATTTTCTGGCCTCTAATTCGTTTGCCCGATGCACGGGCCGAACCAGTCCCACCACCGCTACCGGCCGATAAACCCGAAATTCTGGGACTACCATCACCGCTACTATCACCGCCGCAGCCGCCGCCGCTGCTAACAGTTGTAGCGCCGGCACCGGTAGTATCGATAAGACGATTGTGATTGAACGGTGTCTGACGTTGTTGTTGTTGTTTACTATTGATGTTTTCCCGAAGTACGGGACTACTCGTGGACAGCGGCGGCGTCGACGACGACGACTTTACAGTATGCATAAGAGCGACAATCTGGTCGCGAATATAGGCCCGGGCTTTGGTCATATCTGGCCTAACAGTCTGGCCGTCACTGTTGTTGTTGTTATTGTTGAACTGTTGGTTCGGCGGCAAGTGATGCTGACCACTACCGTCATCATCAGCCGCCTGTTCATCGGTAAAAGCAATTTCGGTCAACTTTTTCAACGACTGCATCAACTGTTTGCATATATAGACAGTATCTTCGGATACATTGCTGCCACCACTGCTGCTGCTGCCGCCGCTGCTGGCCGTACCGTCCAATTTATTTCTGGACGATCGGCGCCTATTGTTGTTGTTGTTGTTGTTTGGCGACCGACGGCTAGTGGTGTAGTGGTTAGCTTTGTCCACTACTAGCGCCGCACTACCGTTGGTGTCGTCATCGCTTTCCAATGTGTCCGACCCGTAGTCGCTATTATTGCTGCCGATAGTACTGCTGCTATTGCTGGGACTGTTGCTTGATATATGGTTAGCATTGGTGGTGGTGGTCACTGTCGGTACTACCGTCGGTACCGGCGATACCGCTTCCATTAGTCTGGCTATCTGTGACTCTAGCGATCTTAACGATGGCAGTGATGATGACGATGTCTCGTGTGGTGGTTGTTGTTGTGGTTGTTGAGCTGTCTGTACATATGGTGATGACTGATGATGTTGTTGTTGTTGTTGTTGTGGATGATTATGAAGATATTGATGACTATGTTGTTGTTGTTGCTGTCTATCTACAGGTGCGCCGCTGTTGTTGTCAGCAGCGCCGCCGTTAAGTAGTAATCGGTTATCAAATGTCGACATATGGGACAACAGTCTAGACATAAATGTTTGCACTTCGGCGTCGCACTGTTGGCCACCACCACCACTACCACCACTAGTAAATGGTTGGCCACTAATAACACCAACAACACTATTATCTTTGCCGCCGCCGCTGTCGATAATCTGTCGTTCAATTTGCCGAACATTGCTGTCGATATCAAACTGATGCGGCGATTGGCGGTCACTATCGGTTTCGCTATCCATAACAGCCGGTCCGCTACCGTAGCCGTTGTTGACGCCGTACTCCAGTGAGGTTAGCGGACTGCCCTCGGCCTCGGACACAAGCATCGGTTCCATATAGTGATGTGCGGGTACTTCCGACGCAACCGATTGACAATCGCTTTCGTCGGCAAACTCGCAGTCGTCGGGATAGTTGAAAGCACCCGATCCTAACAGTCCGGTCATAAAATATTTTTCCAGACGACTGCTCGCCTGATACCTATCAGACTGATGGTGACCGTCGCCACCGGTTTCGGCATCAGTATCGTAGTCGCCAAGCATTGGCCTATCGGTGGCCGTCGCCTGCGACGACTGTTCATCCATACTGTCCATACTATCCGTATCGTCGCTGACGGCCGTCGACCACGACTGTCGTTTGTGATGGTCTTGTTGTTGTTGTTGGTCGCCGTCGTCATCGCTGTTAGACTCGGCCGCCGCCGCCGCCGCTGCTGCCGACGCCCGCGAAACTACTACAGCATACGGTGCGTCACATTTACGATGATGATCACTATCGACGCTGACCTCACTGTGCGACGATGGCGATGTCGGACGGGTACTGTTTCGGCTACAGCTACTGTCCTCACAGCTTTCCTCGGCTATTGTATGCAACGAATAGGCCAACGGATTGCCGTATTGGGCGTACTGTGCATTCATTACGACTGTCCTCTGCTGTTGTTGTTGTTGAGTATATTTAACAGTTGTATCCGCCGTCGACGTGTCCTCCGATTCCGAGGAGGAGGACGACGACGATTCAGACCCGGCATCAAACATATTGTTGTTGTTGGCGGTAGTGCTGTGTTCAATCATCTCCCTGTCCTCGACATCGGACACACAATCAGTGTCGTCGATACGCGAGTCGTAGTGTTGGTCATCGACGCCGAGCTCGACAACAGTGTCGTCGTCCACCCAATGGTGGCCTTCGTTGTTGTTGTCCTCATCTTTTCCGTCGGCAAACGGCGACATACTGTTGGCATACTGGGGACAGGCGTTGGTGGTGGAGGTGGTGATAGACCTGCGTAACTGTCTATCGCCGACACCAACCTTAATGATCTCCCGTTCCTCTAATGATTGTGTAAAATATTTTTCTAAACCCGATATGGTTTTTGGCTGTTCTTCCTCCTCCTCCTCCTCCACCTCCTCGTCCTCCTCTGTCTCACTATAGTCGTCGTTGTCGTTATGATGAGCACCGGTATGTTTGCGTAAATCACTTTCCGTTTCACTGATGTTGTTGTTGGCTATGGCTATGGCTATGGACGACAACGACGACTCTGAATCCTCAGACAACAGTAACAACTGATTGGTATTCAGAGCACTGGTAGTTGTTGTTGGTATTGGCCTCAAGTTATGGCACTCATTAATATTAAAATAATTAGTTGTATTATTTATATTATTACACAACTCGGAACTGGTAGTAGTATTTATTAAGACAACTTTCCTATCATTAGTATAATAGTCACTATCGTTATCACTATAGTTGTTGCGGTCCTCAACATATGTTAAGTTGTCGGCACAGGTAGTAGTTATTATCGGCTCTATAGCCTCATCATCATCATCATCAGGTACCAGCAATATATCTACATAACTGTCCACGTGTTTAGTGTCTATCCTCAATGTAGTCAATCTTTTTAGTTCACTATAGGCACTGTTCAATGATTTATCTATTAGTTTGACGCAAAACTTTTCAATAGTTTCAATCAGATTGTTGTTTACTATTATAGCTAAACAATAGTTACATTGATTGCATTGGTTATGCAATATAGCTGTTATGTTAGGTTGTTTAGCTAAGGGAAAGGTATGTCGTCGACTACTACAACGACTATAACTATTACAACACAAACAACAGGTGTGTTGTTGTTCAGCACTAGTAGTACAAGTAGTTGTTGTTGTTGGCCTCGTATTCATAGACTGAGTACTACTACTACTACTACTACTACTATCACAGCAACGACCTGTTGAGCTACTAGTTCTGTTGGGACTGTGGTTGTTGTCGACAGTGCACTGGCACTGGTGTTGTTGGTGTTGTTGGTGGAGGTGCTGCTGCTGGTGGTGGTGGTGGGGGCAGTAGTAATGTTGTTGTTGTTGGCGGAGGTGCCTAACAGGCGGCACAGTTTGCTTATTAGGAGGACTACTATTAACAGCTACACGTTCGCAGGCCATGTCTCGCTCGCAGCCGTCGCAGGCATCGCAACGGGTCAGTGATCCGTATAAATAATAATAAGAGCGACTAATACTACTACAAGTGCTCTCATCGACTACTACTGGAGCTCCAGTAGTCGGTGTTGGCACTGATGATAACTGATTAGGCACTGGATATGTTTGGCCGCATCGATAGCACGGGTTATTATAATGATGTCGATGATGTTCATGACTATGACTTAAACAACTTAAACAATTGATGGCCTCATTATTATTACAACTACATGTGCGCTGAACACTGACACCATCATCATCATCATCACTGTGACAGCACCCGTATGTTGTTGTATAACTGATTGACGGATCAGACCTACCATTCAAGCGATAGTAGTCGTAGTAGTCATTGATCTCTACTAAAACACCATCGGTATGACTATCAAACTGATGGTTGTTGTCCTGTTGGTGTTTTAGCTGCAGGTGCTGTCCATATGTATGTATTTGGGCTATTGGTTGGGGTTTGGGTGGTTGGGATTGCTGTCTGACTGTTGCTGCTGTCGATGATTGGCAATTGCTATTCACGAGGAGCTGATCCTCATTTCCCAGTTGTGGTTGTTGTTGTTTGGGAACTCCTATTAATTGGGTTATGGAGGCATAGCCTGTGCTCAACACACATATATATACAGTATATATATATATACGGTATTATACAGATATTTAGTATTGATATATACAGACAAATGTTTTATTTAAATATGTATTTTTTTAAACTCAATATTTTTTTTATATAATACAAGTACTGTATATTATATATAATGAGAGTATATAAACACATTGTATATAATTATTATTATATTAAATTATGTATTTATTTTATTTATTAAGTATTTATTTTAACTTAATTATTATTTAAGTGTACTATACTCTCAATTATATAATAATTTTTATTTTATTTTTTTTAATAAGTCATTTATGGTATTTGGCATAATTTATTTTTTTTTGCACACTTATATACTGTATATATATATGATATAATAATATGTTTTAAAATATATATATATTGCATATTATCCGTAATTATATTATTATTAATATTAAATGCCATTAAATATTATTATGTTTTTGACACATGTATTGCAATTTATTAGCAATTTATAAGTAGTAGCGCATTAAATAGCAAATATAATTATATAAATATGATATATATATAAATATAATTTATAAATATTTTTTTTTTAATTTATATTATATTTCAGTTATATTTATTATATAAATATTATGACTAATAGTAATTATTATATTTTGATTATTATTACTATTACTTGTATATATTTAAATATATAGTACACTATATATATATATATATATATATATATATATATATATATATATATATATATATATAGACACACTTTAAAATTTTTAAATTTTAGCTTGCATAATAATTATTATTGTTATTTTTTAAAAAAAATATTTAAAATATATTCATAATTTTTTTTATGAATTATAAAATAATAATAATATTTTTTTTGATAGAAATTTATTTTTAACAATCAAATATTCAATTACCATATATTATAATATACAATATATTTTTTAAATATATTCAATTCAATTGATCACAAACAACAACAACAACAATAATAATAAAATAAATTTATTTAAAAAAATTAATATAAAAACCAATAACCTCTAAAAAAATATGTTATTAACACAAAACACAGTTTTAATATTTATTTTTTTCAATTTTGGCCATATTTTGACACAATTTTTTTGTTAATCATTATCTATCTATCATTCATTCATTCAATTAAAATTCATTACAAACACACATAAAAATACTTGTATTTATTTTCGTGAAAATCATACCAATTATACAACTTTTTTTTGGTAGAGTTTTATTAATAGATTTTTTTGTTGGGATTTTTTGTTGTTGTTGTTGTTGTTTAGGATTTTGTTGTTGAATGCTTATAGCAATACACACACATATATATATATATATATATATATATATATATATATATATATATATATATATATATATATATTAATACATACATACAGTACATACACATAAAGTTATATACAGTATATATATATATTATACGGTATATATTTTTTTGGGTAATACACTGTGATATTATATACAAAACAATTTTTTTTTTTTGAGAGTTTAGTTAAACTAAATGTAGAAATATTTAGTTAAATACAACAACACTCATAAAATATGGTTTTTTGTTTGTTTGGGTATTATATACAGTATATATGTATATATCGTTTATATCTATACCACACTTAGTATTAAAAAAAACCAGTTTTTAAAGTGCGAAAAACTTWTATATATATAYAGAGAGAGAGAGAGAGAGAGAGAGAGAGAGAGAGAGAGAGAGAGAGAGAGAGAGAGAGAGAGAGAGAGARAGAGARAGAGAGAGAGAGAGAGAGAGAGAGGTATTTGTTTTTTACACCAGGGATTGTATTATTATTAATATACGAAAAAACAATATATATATATACTGTATATATATATATATATATTATAATACAAAATAAAATGTTAAAGTTTTGGTATGAAATAGAAATTTTTGTTTTTTGGATAAAACTTTTTTTTTTTGTTGGAGTAATGCTAGAGAATGATGAACTCGTTTTCATAAAAATGTTATTTTTATTTGTATTTTTTTTATATATATTTATTTGTTTTTTGGTTATTATTATTACTGGTTTTTATGTATATATATACAGTATATATATATATATATATATATATATAATTTATTCTATAGCACGTTGTTTTTTAATAGTATATATGATAGACACCCTAATATTTTGTTTGATAAATAATTGCTAAATATATGCATAGACACAGTGTGTGTGTGTGTGTGTGTGTGTGTGTGTGTGTGTGTGTGTGTGTGTGTGTGTGTGTTGTAAATAATTTATAAATAATATTATATATATATATATAAAAAACAAATTTTATAAATACTATCAATGATAGTGTAAATATTTGTCACATTTATTTTTTACTGATTGACTAATAATAATATAATAACAATAATAATGATAACAATAAATTTTTTGAAGTATTTATTTTATTTTTGTTGTTGTTGTTTGTTTGCAATTGACTTATAAGGGTATTAAATACTATTAATATATATATATAATATAAATATAATAAATATAAGTGTTTTTTAATTATCCATGTATGTTATATAGTGTTATTTGTTTTTATAATACTGTAATACTATTTTTTTCCTATTTATTTATTTTAAGATAAAATTTATTGTTTTAAATATTTTTCAATGCGATATACATGTTTGATAATGCAATTAAATATATATATATATATATATATATATATATATATATATACAGTACTGTATATAAATTTTATAGTTAAAATAAAACACACAAACATTATTTAAGATATAAAGATATCACTATTATTATCACTAATTAAATACTAGTATAGAATAAATAATAAATAAATAAATACCTAAAATATTTAGCAAAAAATATTTATTTTTGATAAATGTGTTGTTATTGAGAAAAATATTTCATAAATATAATCAACAATTAATTATATTATATGATTGCTAATGTATTACACAGTTGATTGCAATGTAATTATTTTTGTATGTTATCTGTAGTATAATGTATGTGTGTGTGTATGTGTATGTGTGTGTGTGTGTRTGTGTGTATGTGTGTATGTGTGTATGTGTGTATGTGTGTATGTGTGTATGTGTGTATGTGTGTATGTGTGTATGTGTGTATGTGTGTATGTGTGTATGTGTGTATGTGTGTATGTGTGTATGTGTGTATGTGTGTATGTGTGTATGTGTGTATGTGTGTATGTGTGTATGTGTGTATGTGTGTATGTGTGTATGTGTGTATGTGTGTATGTGTGTATGTGTGTATGTGTGTATGTGTGTATGTGTGTATGTGTGTATGTGTGTATGTGTGTATGTGTGTATGTGTGTATGTGTGTATGTGTGTATGTGTGTATGTGTGTATGTGTATGTGTTTGTGTCTATCTATTCAACCAAATGACAAAACCAGTGGTCACTATATATACAATATATACACATATATTATATTATATATATATATTTATAAATAGATTATATTTATCGTACCTGGTATTGAGATATATATATATAATGTATTATAAGATATTATTATTATTATTATTATTATTATTATTATTACTTAAATATTATAAAAGATATCTCATTTAATTTTGAGTGTATATCTCATATTTATTTTTACTGTATAGCTGTGTATATAATACGATATACTTAATAATACGAAAACTAAATTTTATTTTTTATTGATAGATATATACTCTATATATCTGATAAACTGTATAATACAGTATATATATCTATAGTGTGTTTGAGTGGGTGAGTGAGTAATAAACTTTTTTTTTAGTGACATATAATACACCCATAAGTTTTATTTTATATTTACTATAATAAAGTAATAGGCATTTGATGTGTGATTAATGTGAAAAACATTTGTCGACAAAAAGCAATTGCTTTAGTTATATATTAATAGTAATGTATAATAAATATAATATAAAAATAATTTTATTTATAATAATAATACTAATAATATATCGATATATAATACTATCGTTAAAAAAATATAAGGGGTTTTTTTATATAACTATTATTTTTATAACCTTTGACCTTGTCTAGGATGATAAATGTTTTTTAGTTTTATTTTTATTTTTGTGTTTTTATATTAGAAATTGTCAAATAATATCATTTTATCTAAAAAAAATCTAAAGTAATTGTATAATAAATATATATATTTATTTAAGTAAATATATATAATTTATTTTAGTTAATATTTAATAAAAATATATATATTTTTAATAATATTAATAATAAATTTTAGAAAATTTTTATCAAATATTTATTCAACATTTATTATTATAAATTTTATTATTATCATTATTATACAACTATAAGACAAATATATAAACAAATTATTTGAATAATTTTTTTTATGAAAACTTATTATTTATAAAAATATATTATAAACTTATTATATATTTATTTAACCTAGAAATTGAAAATTAAAAATATAATTGTTATAATAATTTTTATTATTACTAAAAACCATAATAAAAATTTATTTTAAAATTATTTGTGTATTGTAATGCAATTACTACTAATTATTACTATAATAATATTATTTTTAATAATAATATTTTATAAGGCAATAAATATTGTTATTATAGTTGTTTTAAACACAAAATTTTACACAAATTAATAGCAAACTCTCTATTATATTATGTAAACAACAAATACTGTAATAATAATAATGAAAATAAAATTTTGTTTTTTTGAAAACATTTAGTTTACACACAATATACTGTATATACAGTATATATATACAGTATATATACAGTATATATACAGTATATATACAGTATATATACAGTATATATATATAATTTCTGAGAAAATTCATTAAAATTTGATTTCATATATATATATATATATATAATGTTGTATTAATATTATTATTACTCAATGTGTACACTAAAGTAGTATATCTATAATATATATATATATTATAATAATATTTTTATCAATAGAGAAATTTAATGATAATTAAAATGATATGCAAATAACAAATTTATAATTTTACTATTTATTTTAGTATAGTATATATATATATATATAAATTAAATATATATAAATACAGTATATTTCTAAATATAATAGATAAATATGAGTCTAGTTATTCAAATTTGATTGCAAACTGCATTTAGTTAGGAATATAATAATAATAATAATAAGTAACTAATTTTAATACTATATTATATATATATATATATATATATATATATATATTTCAATTTCTCTTTTTAGTTAATAAAAATTCAATGTTTATTTAGTGAATATATTTATTATTATTATTATTATTATACAGTATATGATATTATACTAAATCATATAAAAATTTTTTGATATTTAAATTAGCAAATTATACAGTTTATTATACAATATACTCTATTATATATATATGCATTAAAAAGTATACATATATATATATATATAAATTAATAGTATCAATTTAACGTTTAACTATATATTCATATTATATATATAAATGATTTTAAATTTAAATATAAAAAAAATAAAAATTTAAATATAAATTTTGAATACAAAAAATTATATATTTATATATATATATTAATCGATAGACATATACATACAATTATTATTTTTTGCATAAAATAAATGTTTTATAAAATAGTTTTTTTGTTATGAATATATTATTAAAAAAAACTATATACAGTATATATATATATTTATAGTATACTGTAATAATAATAATAATAATAATATTTTATTTATATATATTTTAGTTCAATTTAGGAAAAAAGTTAATCGAAATCGTTTTTTTGTAATAATAATAATAATAATGTAAAAAATATGTTATATAAATATATTTACAATTGTATACAATATGCAATATATATATATATATATAATGTATTTTCAATTTGAAAAAAAAACATTTTATTATTATTATTTTGAATATAAATACCCAAAAAAAAATTTAAATATCTATTCAACAAAATTTTTTTTAAACTTATTGATAAATTTATTTATTTATTTATTTATTTATATATTTGTTTTTTTTGTCAAATATATTATAACTTGAATTTATTATTATTATTATTATTTTGTGTGTGTGTATGTTAATTAATATAAATTACTTTCACTCAAAAAAATAAATAAAAATAATTTATATGTAAATTAATATATTGTATATATATATATATATATATATTTCTCTAATGTATTGATTTTATTTATATTTGATTTGATTTATTTATTTTTGTTGTTGACTACTACTACTTGTTGTCCAATAAATTATTTTATTAAATATTTATTAACACGAATCTATAGGCCATATACTAAATAACAAAATTGTTTAAATAATTAATTAAAAAATAATTTTACGCCTCAATAATTATACTAACCATAATGTGTACACTACTACTAACACATATTGTTTAAAATTGTTTAAATAATAAAATTGTCTAAAAATAATTACAGTATATTCAGGTATATATATATATATATATAGTATACCGTATATTAATATACTATTTTCATAAATAATATTAATAGTAATAATAATTATTATAATTATAAAAAATAATAATAAAATATTTTGTTTCTGAAATATAATAATAATAATAATAATAATAATAGTAATCATATTTTTATTATTAAATAGCTGTTAACCTTCAAATTCCTATCTATTATATACAATATATATATATAATATAATATATATATAATATAATATATATATAATATAATATATATATAATATAATATATATATAATATAATATATATATAATATAATATATATATAATATAATATATACAGTATATTGCAATATATATATATACTGTATATACCGTTTATATCTATAAATAACAATCCTAAAAATGCCCTGGATAAATAAATGAAATAACTATGAAATTGTACATTTAATATGATAAAAAATATATATATAAATATATATTGATATATAGTATATATGCTGTATATATATATATCAAACAATATTAAATATCCAAGTTAAATAGAAACAAGATTATTTACTTTATATAATATATATATATATATATATATATTATTACTATATTTTATATACATTGTATTTGCAAACATAAACACAATAATAATAATAATAATAATAATAATCTAGGTTACTTGGATAAAATAAAAATTTGTTACATTAGAAAAATATTTTTATTATTATTATTATATTTTTCCATTGAATCTATCATATTATGTGTACAAATATCACACATATATATATACAGTATATATTGATATATATATTTTTTATGCATTAATCTAATATAAAATACACTCAATATATAAAAAATATATATATAAATTTATATATATATATATATATATATATATATATATATATTAAAAGGCATACAATATATATATTTAAAAAAATTTCTATCTATTTATTTTACGATACTATTTCATAACTATAACAATCTATAACTTCTAGATGTTTGATATATTTTAATATAAAAAAATATATAGATTTTTTTATATTATTTATTTCAGCAATAATATCATATCAAACACTAGATTTTTATTTGATTTGATTTGAATTTTTTTTTATTTTGATATATGAAATACATATACAACAACAACAAAAATTGTTATCATATATTAATAATGTATATGCAATATATATATATATATATATATGATTATAATATTTTATACATTTGATATAATAATAATAATAATAATAATAATAATATAAAGTTGCTTTTAAAAAAAAATATTTTATGTATACTGTAACATTTAGTATATGTACAGTATGTATGCATGTATGTATTGCTTAGGTAGCTAAAAATAGACACACTATATGTACTGTATGTGTGTGTGTGTGTTAGCTCCGGTATGCTAACAAGCATTCAATGTTATACATTCAAGTACAGTATATACTGTACAAACCATCATACAGGAATCATACATGAGTTTTTGAGCACTGGTAGGTACTGTAACACACACACATACACACACACATACACACACACATACACACACACATACACACACACATACACACACACATACACACACACATACACACACACATACACACTCAGTCATACACTTATAAAGAGATAACATATCGATACAAAAAAAAATTATATATATATATATTTTTCGTGACATTGATGATATAGTACAGTACAGTATAGTTAAAACTCATACACATCATCAACATTGTTAGCATTTAGTAGTAGTAGTAGCAGCAGCAGCAGCACAGTTAGCAACAACAACTGTACTATACATATACTGTAGCTAACTGTGCTGCTATTCAACAACAACAACAACAACAACAACAACAAAAAACTAAACCAAATAAATAAAATCCCAGAATATTCTCTACTGTATGCTTGCATTAACAGTGAGAGAGAGATAGATTGATAGAGAGAGAGAGAGAGAGAGAGAGAGAGAGAGAGAGAGAGAGAGAGAGAGAGAGAGAGAGAGAKAGAGAGAGAGAGTGAGAGAGAGAGTGAGAGAGAGAGCACTGGGTATCCGAGTATTTTTAATGCAAATCCCTGTATATCTCTCAATATATAACTTATATATAATAGATATACAGTATATATCTACCGGTTTTTATCGATTCAATTATATTGAATATATATATATATAATATATATAACAGTACAGTACTGTACTGTACTAACAATACTCAATACAGTAGAGTATTTTATATGTATAATACATAAGTGTTTTTTTTGTGGATGTATAATAAAATAAAATTTTAAAGCACTGTTAGATAGATAGAGAGCACACATACCTGTTGCTGGTTGTGATGGTAGTGGTGCTGATGATGACGACATACCACCACTTGTTGTTGTTGTCTTATCATATGATTGACGTCTAGATACATGTTGTTGCTGTTGTTGGGGTTGTCCACCACCACTGCCAGCACCGGTAGATACGCTGCTGCGGCCACCGCCGCGTTGCGGTGAATCTGTATTACGCTTGCGGACAGTAACCTTACGAAACACACAGCCAGTGGCCGATTCGATGACCGCTTCCGATTCGCTTAGACTAGCGTCGCGGCCCAATTGGCCAGACTCTGGTAGCGGGCATTGGCCGCCCATATCGGAGCCACCGCCGCCGCCAATATCGTCGTGTCCGCCGCTAGACGACCGCCTGATCGACGACCCGGTACTGCCGTAGGCTTGGAAAAAGTTTTTCGGCGGCGACGCATAGTTACAGTCGGCTACACCACTGTCCGGAGCACTGCTAAACGTTGCCGACGACGGACACGACCCGTACTCGGCCTCAAGCGATGATCGCTGCGAATCACGACCACCACAACCGCCGACGCCGACACCGCCGCCGCTACCACCGCTAATCTCTTCGGCAATGATGGCCCGTTGTTTGCGCAACGGACTAACCCGACGGCTTCGGGATATCGGCTGCGGTGTTAGTCGGGGATCGCTTGTCGTACAACAGCTGCTATCGTTGTCGCACAAGTCGGACGATGTCGACCGCGACCTCATTGAGCTCATTGTTGTCGAAAACTCGTCCGACGACTGGCGTTCAGAGTGTCGTTCATAGGATGGCGGCCGCGAATGAACCGGCGAACCGCCTGATGGCGGAAATTTGAAAGCTGTCGCCTGATTTGAATGTATTGACGACAATATACGGCAACTGTTGGGTGTCCTCGGACTCGGTGTACTACCGGAGCTACGTTGGGCTGAATCGCATCGTAACAATGGACTCAGGGGTGGCTCGAGTAGGTCTTCGTTGTTGTTGTTTAGATTGTTGTCCACGTATTCGTCCTCCTCGTCCTCTGAACTGCTAGACTCTAGCATACGATTGGATACCTTTTTGAATTGGACAGTCTGTTTGGGCGAATCGGTACGCGTCAGTAGCGGCGGCGGTGTATGACTACTACTACTGCCCGGGATTGTTGTTGTCCGTACAGTACCATCGCTGGTAATAACATAGTCGGGCGACTGTTGGGACAATGCTTTCAGTACGGGACTGGGCGGCAGTTTTGGCGATGTTTGCTGTTGCGGTGAATTAGTGGCCAACGATCCGTCGTCTTTGCTGTCCGTACTGCTACGATGCGAACCGGCCGATAGCGGCGATTTCGGTGATTTCGGTGACCGCGGCGGCGGTGTCGACGACGACGATGATACAAACGGATCCGTTGCGGCTGTGATTACTGGCGGCAGCCGTGACGGTATAAAACCTTTGGCCAACGATTTTACGTTAGATATCAACGATATAGACGGCACTGGACTGGTCCGCGGCGGCTGCGGGTGGTTGTCGGCAGCGCCGATAGTTTCGTTGTTGTTGTTGTTGTGGTAGTAGTGGTGCTGATTATGATCGTCCAGTGAGTGGCCAAACGGTTTCGACTGATTGTTGTTATTGAGGACAGTTGTTGTTGTTGTCGGCTCCGATTGGTGCTGATGTGGTAGCGATGATTGGTTATGATAGTGATGCGGTAGAAATGCTAGTAATAATAATAATAATATTAATTGTAATTAAAAATAATATTAAAAATATTAATTGTAATTGTAATTAATATAATAATAATATTATTATTAATTGTAATTAAAAATAATATTAAGGATAATTGTAATTAAATATATTAATTGTAATTAATATAATAATAATAATATTAATTGTAATTATTATTAATATTAATAATATTAATTGTGATTAAAAATAATAATAATTGTAATTAAAATAAATTTGATATTATTTTGTTGATATTTGTTTAAATATATTTAAAATTTTTGAGAAACAAATATTTTAATTTAAAATATCTAATTATATATAAAATTATTATAATTGCAATTATAATTAAATATTATTTTTTGTATTTATTTTAATTATACTCTATATATATAACAGTATGTTTAATACTAATACTACTACTACTACTACTACTACTACTAATAATAATAATAATTTATATATAAACTTATAGTTATATTATAGTATACTTATGATGGATATTATAACATATTTATGGATTTATTTATTTATTTATCTCTCTCTCTCTCTCTCTCTCTCTCTCTCTCTCTCTCTCTCTCTCTCTCTCTAAGATTATATAATAAAATGTCAGTTAATATTTATCATTGATTTTTTGTTTTGATGACATCAATAATATACACATTTAATATACTACTTAATACATATCATAATGTGTGTGTGTTTTTTGTGTTGTTTGATAATGTCTTTATATATACAGTATATATGATAAATGATATTTATTTACATATATATATAACTATAAATAATTATATAATACTTTATGAATAAATATAGATATTATTACCGATTGATATATATATATATATATAATCCTTTAAATAAATATTTCATTAACTATTTGAGGATTTGCACTGTGATTGCCAGTAATATTAATAATAATAATAAATAATATATATATTACTTATATACTGTATATATATATGATAAAAAATATGCATAAAAAATATGGTTATAATAATAATAATAATACTAAAATTGCAAAATAATTATGAATTCATTTACATATATCTATATATATATATAAAATATTTTAAATATTCAAATATATATTAGTAAATATTATTCAAAAAATAATATATTTTTTTAAATAGATTTTTTTTGGATGAATTTATTTTATTTTTATTTTTTTGATGAAACATATGACACAAACAAAACATATACTACTGAATATATAATTCAAATGATAATAATTTCAATAATAATAATAAAAATAATAAAATATTTTTTTTATAAAAACTAGACGTTTGGGAATTGTTTTGCTTCTCAACAAAAAAAATAAATCAAAAAAAATACTAATAATTGTCAACAAAATTTAGTTTTATTATTATTAAATGTCATACAATAACTGTATATATATAATGTATGAAAAAATATTTAGTTTTATTATCATTATTATATAAATATCAAACACAAAACAATATTATTATTATTATTATTAGTATTTTATAGAAATATATATATATATATACAGAATATTCTGTGTTAATAAATTTGTTTGCAATAATTTATCTATAAATAAATAAATAGAAACCTAACAAAAATAAATCTAAAAAAGATAATTTTTCTAATTGTAAATCAAACGATAACAATATATTTGTTATTTGTTTAATAACTAACTAACTTATTATTATATCAATAATATTATGTATACAATTATTAGTATTATTAGTATTATTATTATTGTATAACTTATACAGTATATAAAAAACAAAACAAAAAACAAATTTATTTGATTTACAAATCAAAAAACAAATACATACAGTAAACATATTTTTTTATAAATAATAATTATATTAAAATTAGTAATAATACACACACACACACACACACACACACACATACATACATACACACACACATCATACATACATACACACATACATACATACATACATACATACATACATACATACATACATACATACATACATACATACATACATACATACATACATACATACATACATACATACATACATACATACATACATACATACATACATACATACATACATACATACATACATACATACATACATACATACATACATACATACATACATACATACATACATACATACATACATACATACATACATACATACATACATACATACATACATACATACATACATACATACATACATACATACATACATACATACATACATACATACATACATACATACATACATACATACATACATACATACATACATACATACATACATACATACATACATACATACATACATACATACATACATACATACATACATACATACATACATACATACATACATACATACATACATACATACATACATACATACATACATACATACATACATACATACATACATACATACATACATACATACATACATACATACATACATACATACATACATACATACATACATACATACATACATACATACATACATACATACATACATACATACATACATACATACATACATACATACATACATACATACATACATACATACATACATACATACATACATACATACATACATACATACATACATACATACATACATACATACATACATACATACATACATACATACATACATACATACATACATACATACATACATACATACATACATACATACATACATACATACATACATACATACATACATACATACATACATACATACATACATACATACATACATACATACATACATACATACATACATACATACATACATACATACATACATACATACATACATACATACATACATACATACATACATACATACATACATACATACATACATACATACATACATACATACATACATACATACATACATACATACATACATACATACATACATACATACATACATACATACATACATACATACATACATACATACATACATACATACATACATACATACATACATACATACATACATACATACATACATACATACATACATACATACATACATACATACATACATACATACATACATACATACATACATACATACATACATACATACATACATACATACATACATACATACATACATACATACATACATACATACATACATACATACATACATACATACATACATACATACATACATACATACATACATACATACATACATACATACATACATACATACATACATACATACATAAATACATACATACATACATACATACATATATAGATACATACATACACACACACACACACACACACACATACATACATACATACATACATATACACACAAAATATATTTACTAATTATAATCTAAATTTTCCTAATATTTAATATATTAATAAATAAAATATTATTAAATAATTATTATTACTAATATATATACAAAAAAAAATAATTACAAATAATAATAATAATAATAATTAAACACTTACTTTGTCTGAACGTATTTTTTATGGCTTTACTAATATCATCGGTAACACTACTGCTGGCCGTCCTTGAAATTGTCGGATGCGATGATACCGATGGTTGGCCACTACTACTACTACCAGTAGTAGTATTGGTTATAGTATTGATTGGATTATTACCGGCACCGGTATGTTGTTGTTGTTGTTGGTATTGGTATAACTGTTGTTGTCGTTGCTGTTGTATTGGACTCGATGTAGACGACGTTCCCCTAAGACTGGCTCTGTTATCAGCAATACGACTGTACTCTTTCATCCAGTCGCCAGTGATTGCCTTCAATTGGCTATAATTTTTTTGTTGTTGATGTTTGTTAAGAGAGAGAGAGAGAGAGAGAGAGAGAGAGAGAGAGAGAGAGAGAGAGAGAGAGAGAGAGAGAGAGAGAGAGAAATTGAAGTTGAATTGAAAGGGAAAAAACAACAACAAAAAAATATTAAATAAATATTATTAGTATAAGTAGTACTATAACATAAAGTACTGTTTAGTATATTTTATAGTATTTTTAAAAAAATAAAATAAAATTAGATATATATATAAATATATAAATATAATTCAAGTTGTTTTATATGATATTTTATATATACAGTATATATACTACTATTTACTATTATTTTTATTTTTTTTTATTAAATAAATGTTTTTTTTCTGTTAGAAACTTAAGTGCATAGAAAATCAAATATATATATATATATAGTGCATATATATATTAATATATATATATATATATATATACTGTATATATATATATATATATTAATATATAAATGCAAAAAAGGCTGAGTATTATTGATAAATAAATTATTTATATTATATTAATATATATTTAATTTAATGTATTGCTATATATATACTGTATGATTCATTTAATATATATATATATATATATATACTGTATATAAGTAAAAAAAAATAATAAATCAATATCATTAATATTAATTTTTTAATTTTAAAAAATTAATGTTAAGCGCGCACTAAATAATATATATATAAATAAATATATATATAATTTTTTTCAAATATAATATTAACATTAATATTAATAATTAAAAATTGTTGTCAACAACATTAATACAGTTTATTACTGTAACGACAATATTATTTAACTATTTTTTTAGTTGAAAATAAATTTATGCCAAAAAAATAATAATAATACAATAATTTTTATGTACATGTATAGTATAGTATAGTATTAATAATAATAATAAAAAAAATATTTCAACAACAAAATAAATGCAATTAATTTTAATTAAACTTAAAATTATTTTTTTTTAAATAACACTTTCATTTACTGTATATATATATATATACAGTACACACACACACTATACATAGCAATTGCCATTTACGGTAATACCCGGCACTGGTAGTTAAGTTAGTTTTTTTTGGGCACATATATAATAATAATAATAATAATAATACTTTACTATAAAAAATAATAAAGACATTAAATCCATAAAAAACACACAAATTTAATATTAATAATAACATTAATAATAATAATATTTGTGATAATAAAAAATTAATACTTTAATTACAATATACTGTATATAAATATATATATATATTATTAAAAAAAATATAATTATAAAAAATACAGTATATATATATATATTTAAAAATATATGGTTAAATAGGTTAGCTAGTGATTAAAATTTTTAAATACACACATAAATGGTTAAAATTATTATTAATTTTTAAAAAAAAATCATTACTTTTTTAAAAATATTTATGGATTAATATATATTTGTTTATATTAAATGTTTTAAATATCCATTGAATTTGTTATTATTAAAGATTAGTTGACTTTATTTGTATTATTATTATTATAAACAATAATTAAAAAATTTTATTTTAATAATCGCAATGTTTTGTTTATTTATTATAAAACAAAACAACTATTAAATAATAATTATTATTATTAACATATTAACAATAATAGTATTAATGATAATAATATTCATAATAATAATAATAAATGTTTTGCGGAATTATATTAATAATTAAAAAATTACAATAATTTTAATGTTTTAAAACTAAAATAGATTTTCAATTAGTTTTTTTTGTATTTTAAACATATTTATTATATGCTAATAAATTTCATATAAATATTAATTATTTTTATTAATATAATAATAATAAATAATAAGTGTTTTAGATGTCTATTAATATCATATATTTATATATTATAATTAATATTTATAATTAGAAAATTTTAATTTGTTTAATAATATATGTGTAAATAATTGTTTTATTAATAATATTGTAGTTGTTTTTTAGTATAATAAAAATACTAAATAAATAAATAGGAAAAAAGTGTAAAACATAAATAAATAATATAAATATATTATATTTATATTGTCTTTAAATATTAAAAAAGAGTTAACAAATTTATTTATATAATTATAATTTTATATATATATATATATATATATATTTAAAAATATAATCATTTATATAAATTTCATAAATTATTCAATTATTATTATTATAATCATTAAAAAATAAAAAATAAAATGTATATAATTTTTTGTTCCCAATTTGATAACTTAATACATTGTAAACTATTATTATACTAATAATAATAATAATAATTTTTATGAAATATTTATTTTAGATATTTTTATTTCCATAGGAATTGCAAATATTTTTTTATGATTATAATACTAATAATAAAAAAAGTTTTGATAAAAATGAAATAAAATTCAAACAAAAAAAACTTAAAACTATAAAAATTAATTATTAATATATCTTTAAATTTTTTAATGATAAAAATACATGTAATCATAATATTAAATGTATGTAATAATAGTGTGTCTAATATTAGTTTTTTTATTATTATTATTTTTCAGCATAAATAGCATTTACTAAGAAATTATTATTGCATTTTTAAAAATAGCTAAATAGATATATATATTATATATATAATATAATTTTTATGGGATATGAATATTATATTTATTAATAACTATTTAAATAAAATATTTATATTTAGTATCATTAGACTACTGTATACTATACAGTATACAGTGTATAGTAAAAAAATTAAATAATTTTAATACAATAAAAACAAAAAAATTAATATTTGTTTTATTGGTTGATATAAATGCAAATATCTTATAATATATAAAATTATCATAAAATTTATAAGACATTTGTTTCAATTATTGTTCATTTATTTCAACAACAAAAAAATAGTTTCAAATATATACTGTATATATATATATTCATAAAAATATTTATAATTTATTCATAATTTTATATTAATTTTTTCATGAATATTTTAATTGTATTCAAAACACATACACATACACATACACATACACATACACATACACATACACATACACATACACATACACATACACATACACATACACATACACATACACATACACATACACATACACATACACATACACATACACATACACATACACATACACATACACATACACATACACATACACATACACATACACATACACATACACATACACATACACATACACATACACATACACATACACATACACATACACATACACATACACATACACATACACATACACATACACATACACATACACATACACATACACATACACATACACATACACATACACATACACATACACATACACATACACATACACATACACATACACATACACATACACATACACATACACATACACATACACATACACATACACATACACATACACATACACATACACATACACATACACATACACATACACATACACATACACATACACATACACATACACATACACATACACATACACATACACATACACATACACATACACATACACATACACATACACATACACATACACATACACATACACATACACATACACATACACATACACATACACATACACATAACTAATACATAATACTTTATGTTATTTTTTATTGAGGATTTAATACCTGAAAACATTTTAGGGTTTTATTTTAATAAAAAGTTTTATTTGTTTTATTTTTGTTTTATCTTATTTTAAATTCAAGTATTAGTTTTTTGTGTTTAGTTTCAAATACTGTATAAATTAAACGTATGTTAATAATAATAATACCAAAAATAGGCTAACAATCAAAAACACAAAAAATATACAACAGTTTTATAATAACTAAATAGAAAATACATTTAATTAAAAAAAACTAAGTTTTTTATCTATTATTTAAATTAGATTTTTTTTCATAGGATTAGTGAGATATCTAAAAAAATATTTTTTTAAACTTTTGATTGAAATTTTTTTTTCAATTAAATGATCAAGTCTATTTTTTCTAATACTTAATTATAAATAAATAAATTATTAAAACTAAATTATAATAAATATAAAACCAAATTTATTAACATTAGTTTAAAAACAATACTATAGCTATTATTAAAATTTTGTAATAAAAAAAGTTACATTTATAAGATATTTAATTTTTTTTGATAATATAATGTATTATTTAAGTCAATTGCAGTCTATTTTTTTAAAATATAATTTTATTATAATTTTATTTAAATTTATATTTTTCAAAAAATAATAATAAATAATTTAATTAAAGATTAATTTAAAGATTTTTATTTAAATTTAGTTTTTATTTTGAAATCAATAGAAAAATAAATTTAAATCTTATTATTATATAACTGTAATAAATAATATTAATTTAATATCAACTGTAATGATACCTATACTGTATTTTTTTAAAAAAATAAAATAGTTTTCAATTACAATAGATATTGTGAAATATTTATTATTTAAAAAAATCTAATAAAATTGACTTAAATTTTGTTATTTTTTTTAGTTTATCTTATTTTATAATAATATTTAAATCAGAAAACACTTCAAAGAGATTTAAAAATATAATAATAATAATAATATTAAATATATATATTATTTTGTGTGTGTATTAGATTTACAAAAAATTTATTTAATATATATATATATTTAATACAACAACAAAAAAAGTTTTAAATTATATAATAGTTGCTGAAAAAAAACTATTGCAAAATAAAATAATAAAAATATTTTACTTTTTTAAACATTTTACTAGAAAATAATAGTTTATTTTTTCAAATTTATTAGATATAAATTTATTTAAATACAATAATAATTATTTATATATATATAAATCAAAATTAAATTAAATAAAACTAATTATTATTATTATTAGTGATTATTATTAGAAATTAATAAAAAATAATTAAATACTGATATAATTTTTAAAAAATATTTTACTGTTAAATTACTAAACATTAAAAAATAT